AAATCATTTCCAGTGGCTTTCTTAGATTAGCCCTTGTAAATGTATGGGTATTTTTTTACAGCCCATGATTATGGCCAAATGTACTATTTACTTCCTCATTTGTTTCCTAGGAATTTCAGGGACTAATCCAAATCCAAGACTGTGAAAACTTTTCCATCATGAGACTATAGGGAACTCTGGAATACTTATTCACATTTACTATTTTGTCATTGTAAAATCTCTGTAGCTTTTTCTATGAACACATGAAGGATTTGCTAAGCACTAGATAGCATGGTGTGGTTATTTGCATGTTGGACTACAACTCTGGAGACCAGGGTTCAGATCCCGGCTCAGTCATGGAAACCCGCCTGGGTGGCCTTGGGAAAGTCATATACTTTCCACCTCAAAAGAAAACAAAGGCAAACCCCCTCTGAACACTGTCTACATTAGCTGGTTAATCCAGGGCCAGACCAGAGTAAAAATGCTCCAGACTGATCACGGAGGTATCCACACGGATCATCCGAAATCTGCAGCCGCAGCCAATCAGAGTCCACAGCCTGAGTGAGATCACATGAGCCCCATTAGACCACTACCTTACTGTCGTTGTCATCACTTTCAGATGGCATCAGAGCTCAGTGTGACTGCCTGACCTCATGCTGCCATCAGCAGAGGTGTCCGTGTGGCCAGGAAGAAGGAAGATGCTGATCTCCCTCCCTTCCTAGTTGGGTGGGCATTTGCTGAAGTTCGCATGGGACACCTGTGTTGGCCAGGATCTTACAGAGTTCTGTCATAATCTGGGAGCAACAATGACAACAATATGGTCCAACATGGGCACAATCTGCTTCCTTTTCCTTTGTACTGCTGAGCACAAGGAAATGGGGATAATGGCAGTGTCCATGTGGATAGCAGACTCATCCGAATCGAACCTGATCCTGCTCTCCACACCGCCCCAAAGCTGCAGAATTACTCTGGAGGTTCAGGAAACTTCAACGCTTCCTCCAAATTTTCCTAATGCAGAGTTAAACCAAATTAATCCAGTTTATCATAAGTCCGTTTCGTTACTATAATGAAAGTAACAAATTTTTCGTTACTATTTTTTAAATTTCTCACTCATTTTTAGAGCTGTTGGAGTGAAACTTGCTACAATGGTAGAACGTATTTACCATTGTCCACAACCCCCCCCCCCAAAGTTTCAGAATGTTTCACTCATCTATTGGTTTTTTAGGGATTTTTTTTTAGATTTTTACAAAAACCTTTTTTTAAAAAAACAAAAAAACAAAACAAAGTATAAGAGCTATAATGGACCCCCTGGTGGCTCAGTAGGTTAAACTGCTGAGTTGCTGAACTTCCTGACCAAAAGGTTGGTGGTTCGAATCCGGGGAGCGGGGTGAGCTCCCGCTGTTAGGCCTAGCTTCTGCCAACCTAGCAGTTCGAAAACATGCAAATGTGTGTAGATAAATAGGTACCATCTTAGTGTTATAATTGATTAAACACCACTCCATGCAGTCTTGCCGGCCACATAACCTAGGAGGCATCTACAGACAATGCCGGCTCTTCGGCATTGAAGATGATCACCACTCCCCAGAGTCGGACACAACTAGACTTAATGTCAGAGGAAACCTTTACCTTTACTATAAGAACTATGTCCTTTAATTTCTCTATGATTACATAACACAACCAGGGCACAATTCAGAAAGATTAACACATCTAATTTGGGGGGAATTTTTAAAAATTTTGTCCAAAAATTAAATCTTTTTTAGCTGCTGTGGCAATCTGGAGTGGAGTGTGGTGTGGTTGGGTGGGTTGGGGCCACACTTGGAGGACAAGACACATTTTCCACTGCAACCAAGCCCATTCAGTTGTTTGGCTCAATGTACACAGATAACACAGGAGTAGCACTAGAAAATGTGGCAAAGAAGTTGTTCCTCCCGGAAACAACTTGTGTGCTTTTGGGCTCAATACACACAGATAGCACAGCAGTAGCACTAGAAAATGTTGCAAAAAAGGCGGGGGGTGATTATGGTGTTGTGTGATGGTTGTTGGCTTCTAATGCACACAAATAGGTCAGCAGTGCACTCAGCAGCCTATCAGCCCTCAAAAATGTTCTTAAATGCAGCAAAAAGATAAAATAGTAGTAAGGCAAAAGGAGCCCACCCACCCCCCAAAAAAGAATAAGCAAAGCAAGCAAGTAGTGCCTGCCAGTGCCTAGCATACAGGATGTAAAACTTCTGTCTTGTTTCTCCAGCACGGACTCGAGTTAGCCTCAGCTAAAGAAGCTAAAACCTAATGAGCTAGTCTCCTTCCTTCTCTCTGTCTCCGATGTGGTGCTTGCCTGCTGATAATACTACCCTCCCTGCAATGCAATCTGAACTTAGTGTGGTGCTGAGCTCTTTTAACTTTTCCTGCCTGATCACAAATGGAGGCTGCGGCATGGCAAACGGGAATTTAAAGAGCAATGGTTGCTGTTCCTCTCCCCCCCCCCCCAGACCTGATTGGCTGAAAGGCATGGCAACACTTTTGGCTTCGCCTCGCGGTAGTGCTTGGTTGCTCTGTGAATTAAAACTGCATCACAGAGAGTTAACTGCATTACGTAACTCACAAAAAAAATCCAGGTGAAAGTTTCAATTCTTACATTTTTGGCACGGGCAACGCCCGCGCTTCAGATATTGACGTTATATGTACAGATCTAACTAATTAGATCTGACATATTATGGACAATTGAAATTTTGCACAGCCTTAATATTTTTAGTGCAATAACATCATTGGGACTGCCAGGAGTGAACTCAGTGTATGAACAGGTTATAATTGATTAACCAATTGATTTTAAAATGGAGATAATCGATTCCAATGTTTATGTGTATTTATAGAAATTTTTTTCCATTCTGGCATTGAATGTTTGCTGTATAAGTGTTGTGCTCAGCCCTGAGTCCCCTTCGGGGTGAGAAGGGCGGAATATAAATGTTTTAAATAAATAATGACTGTGCGGACGAACCCCATGTCTTGCCTAAGAAATCAAGTGATAGGTTCGCCCTAGAGCAGTGGTTCTCAACCTTCTTAATGCCGCGACCCCTTAATACTGTTCCTTCTGTTGTGGTGACCCCCAACCATAACATTATTTTCGTTGCTGCTTCATAACTGTAATTGGTAAACTGTAATTACATGAATCGCCATGTAAATATCTGATATGCAGGATGTATTTTCATCACTGGACCAAATTTGGCACAAATACCCGATAGGCCCAAATTGGAATACTGGTGGGGTTGGGTGTGGGGGGTGATTTTGTCATTTGGGAGTTGTAGTTGCTGGGATTTATAGTTCCCCTACAATCAAAGAGCATTCCGAACTCCACCAACAATTGAACTGAACCAAAGTTGGCACACAGAACTCCCATGACCAGAAAATACTGGAAGGGTTTGGTGGGCATTGACCTTGAGTTTGGGAGTTGTAGTTCACCTACATCCAGAGAGCACTGTGGACTCAAAACAATGATGGATCTGGACCAAACTTGGCAGGAATATTCAATATGCCCAAATGTGAACACTGGTGGAGTTTTTGGGGAAAATAGATCTTGACATTTGGGAGTTGTAGTTGCTGGGATGTATAGTTCACCTACAATCAAAGAGCATACTGAACTCTACCAACGATAGAATGGAATCAAGCTTCCCACACAAAACCCTCATGACCAACAGAAAATATTGTATTTTCTGATGTCTTTGGAGACCCCTCTGACACCCCCTCATGAACCCCTCAGGGGTCCCGACCCCCCAGGTTGAGAAACCCTGCCCTAGAGCATGCCTGGACAGCCTGTGGTCTTGTAGGTGTTTTGGACTTCAGCTCCCAGAATTCCTAGCCATTGGAATAGTTAGCTAGAGCTTCTGGGAGTTGAAGACTCATACACCTGGTATGTTGTGCAGGCCTGCCCTAGGATCACCATGTCAGAAATGACTTGAAGGTATAGAATGGCAACAATAAGGCAGCACCAGAGAAATCACCCTGGAATGTAGAGGTATCTACCTTTCAGATAATTCTCACTTTAATAATGAGGATTTAAGTAAAAGTGTTTCCAAAACAAAGTGCCATTGAAACTTCATAGAACCTCTGGTGGCAGGTTACTGTCAAAGGACATGGTTCTGTGAGGAAGCAATGATGAATGTAGCATTATCACAGTGCGGCCGTATTGACCTGGAGCCCTTAAGCCTCTCTCTTCAAGCCTAATGTATTGAGAACTAAACCTTGCATATTAAGCTTTCTCATTCTTAACATGCTAAATTGCATGAAAATTTCAAAATAATCCCTTTCAGCCTATCTTACGCATTCAGATTAGGCTACCATTTTAAGGCATATGAGGGAAGTTGTATGGAAAGGAAGTTGTGGCTGGATGTCTTTTTCAGCCCCATGTAAGATTGTTATGATAACGTGCAGGTTCTGGCTGTGATTCTGAAACAGCATAGAAAAGGAGTAAGAGAAATGTACCATATTTTTGGCCCATTTTCTCTCAACGTTTTGCACATTCTGGATGCCACTATGTAGGTAACTGCAGCTTTTCTTTCCATGCTGCATTTTATTACCCAGTCAAATCCCCAGAGAGATTCATTGTGAGTTGTCACTGGCACCCTTTGTGAAACTGGTAGAGATATGGCATTTTCTGCACATCTCTTTCACGCACATCGACATGAATGAGCATTCTGATTTAGAATAAACGGACTGCCTTTCAGTGCATATCAAATAACTAATGTTACAGTGCACATAAAACAATGAATGTTTAACTTCTAATTGTTAGAAGAAAAACTTCATTTTATTATATTTCATAAAATGTAATATTTACAGCTCTCGCCATGCACTCTCTGTCTCTCTTTACCTCCCTATTTTAATTTTGCTTGCTCTGTCCTCCATGTACTAACCTGATTATTTTGTTTCCTGTTTGGGGTTGCTTTGCATGACAGTTTTTCTTCTTGGCTGACAGGCATATGGTTGATCCTCTTCCTCTCTATGATTCAGGTGCCTCACTCTTTCCTTTCCAGGTTCTTCCAGTTCTTTTAACATGTCAAACTCTGGAGATTTGTTCATGAGCGTGCAGTCACTCAATGGGGATTCTTACCAAGGGGCCCAAGTTGGAGCCAACGTGCAGTCACAGGTAGGGATCCATCGGATGTACTGCCAGTGAATGCATCATTGTCAGAATGTAAAAGCCTTTGATCCTATTGGCTTTCTCCATTCCTATAACAGAGGAGGAATTGAAACTTTAACCAAACTGAACCAGTCAAAATGAAACCCAAAATTCAAACCCAACCATTTAAAAAGAAGCGTCTTCAGGGATCTTACCCACACTTTGTGAATGCATTTGGCTCTGGCTTGATAGTTCTATTGAAATCAAGATTTTGAATGGAAAAAGTGCTGTAACAAGGACATGCAGCTTGCATGGATTTTCTGGAAAAAGGGATAAGATACGTACTTAAAATTAGAAGTTGTTTTTCAAGATGTACATACTTTCATCTTCAGAGAATATTACTGAACACAGCCCCTAAGTCATTTCACCGTGAACCAAATCTAATCACATTATCTTGGAACCCAATTTTATGCATAAGAGTTTAAAACAGGGGTCCTCAAACTTTTTAAGCAGAGGGCTGCTTCACGGTCCCTCAGACTGTTTTGGGGGGATGAGGTGGCCGGACTATGCAGCAAATATCTTATTTATAGTTAAAAAAAAACCAATGAAAGAACAATACAGTGTTTAAAACGAAGAATGATTTAAACCAACATAAACTTACCAATATTTTGGTGGGCCTGCTTTCAGCTGATGAAATAGTCAAGTTAATTAAGATTGTTGTTGTGTGCCTTCAAGTCGTTTCAGACTTAGAGCGACCCTAAGTCTAAAGTCTATAGCAGGGCAAGGTAAATGACCTTGGTGGTCATTCATCCAGCCCACGGGCCTTAGTTTGGGGACCCCTGGTTTGAGAGATCATCTCTGTAATGCAAACCTTGTGGGGGAAATACAATAGTCTTGACAACAGTAGTGTCATTCCAGCCTCTTAGACCTTTACAACTATTTCTGCATTTGTCTTTTACCTGTGACCCGTCACACTGGCATTCTAGATAATTGGTCCAACTGCTCAGAAATTTCCATCATTTGTTGGTATGCCTTTACACACAATTCAGGTTACCTTGTTTTCTGCATGCAGAGAAGAGTGCATGCTAGATGTCAGGTGATCAAGCATAATGAATAAAGATTGAAAGTGTTGAGATGCAGGGTGGTAAACCTTCTATATCATCATGTATATGAAATCAGCTCTCTTCATTTCCAAGTGTCATTGTTTTGAACAGCTAACAGAAGATTAGTACTAATTTTTTTTGTCCCCATATACCATACTACTTCAATTGTAAGATGCACTTTTCTCCATATAAACAGCTCTAAAAATAGGATGCATCTTAGAATTGCACATGCATCTTAGAATAATTGGTTTCCTAATGTTTCTGTGTTCATGCAAGGAAAGGGATGGAGAGCCAAGACTATGTGCCTCGACAAAAACAGCAACTTTGCTTTCAAACATGATGACATTGACAGAGGGTGACTTTAGCCAATACATGATAACAGATGGAGTCTTGGCAGAGCACAACTCCAAGACTAATGTGGCCGGTTGCAGCAGTGTTTATTATAAAGACAACCAGTCCTTACCTCAATTGATGCAGTATCGCCATTCCATGTTTGAAATATATATAGATAGGGTTAAATGAACATTATATTAACAACAATTATCAAAAAGGAAATTTGATGTAAAAATAAAAGATAGAGAGATGCCAAGAAATGAAAATAGCTGGATGTGTAACATGATTTGTGATACATCAAATAAAGGAGATGCAAATAGGGAGATAAATGCAAGCACATTTTTGTATAAAAGAGTATTAAAACAATATTCTGAGGGGAAAAAATTCTTAGAAACAATGCTTTTTTCTGTTGATGGTAATTATTTAATGTGTGTCTTAAAATTGATGGTGTCTTAAGTTCGAATTGCTATCTCAACTAAGAACTTCCAACCAACTTTCCTGTTCCCTTGTAAATTTTTCATACCAACCATTGCAATACTAAGAATAATAATGGACTGCTGCTAAAATCAGTGATTGTACCATTAAGTGTGGACATGAGAGGAGAGGGGAGGGTTTTTAGGGATTTTTATATTTTTTGCTTTTTGAAAAAGAATGTTGGGAAATCTTATATTTTGCCTTTTCATATCCATTTGCCTAATTCTCTCTTTGTTGTTGTTGGTCTGTTTAGGTGGATACCCTTCGCCATGTTATCAGCCAGACAGGAGGATACAGTGATGGGCTGGCAGCAAGTCAGATGTATAGTCCGCAGGGCATCAGTGTAAGAAAAATAGGCTTCCGTTTTTCATTTTTTCCATATTGTTTTCTCTTTTCTCTAGCTTCCAATTATTTCAATGCCATAGGGCTCAGAATGCCACTTAGTAGGACTTGTCTTAGCTTTACAGTCACCTAGTTCATTGCTTCTGTATTGGTCATGCCAACGGCGAAGTTCTATCTGCAAAAAAAAATGGTGATTGGGCAGGCTTTGTGCAGGCAGCTGGCGTCTAGGGCTGTCAGACACAATCACCATTCACATAGCACCTGCGGCCACTCGCATTCTGCTGAGAGGAGCTGTTAAACAGGTGACACCTAGTGCAATAGCAACGAGGGATGTCACCACAACCCACGACCTAGACATCTTCAACAAGAAGGCCAAGGGCGGCAGCCCCACTGCATCTGGATGTTCCGTCTAAAAATAACATAGACCCCTTCCCCACACATAAGTGTTAAGAGTTAGAAAAAGATGATTAACAAGTGACTGGTGGTGATGATGATGATGATGACAGTACTAAAAATTCAAAAATTAACAGGTGAAAAAAATAAATGGGTGGGGGTGGAGGGGAACATCTTCTACTTGTTCTGGGTTGTGCTGGCGGCTCCTGACTAGCATGAAAATTCATAGCGACAAGCTGTGTTGTACAGAATGAAATTGATCAGACAGACACAAGGAAAATTGAGTGTAGATTCGGGACAGCAATCCAACTTCATTTCTCAGATCAATCATCCACCATCTTAGTGGTAATGACAGCAAGCTGGGACAGGAGGGCAGCCTGGAAAAGGAGGCTGCCTCACATAACATCAGGGGTTCTCTCTGCCCCTTTGAAAGATCACAGGGAAAGCTATGCTCAAGGACTGACCTGAAAATACTAGAAGGATGAGACACATTTTAGATCTTTTTGTTCTTGTTTGTTTGCATCAGTGCTTTGGACTTGGGGAGTTCCAGTTTGGTGGAGGACCAATGGAAGGTTTAGAACACATGTGTCAAATACAAGACCTGTGGGCCAAACCCAGCCCTCCATATCATTTTATGTGGGCAACATAGTTACCTTTATATAGTCTTACAATTATAAATAGCCCTTTGAAGGCAACCATGAGGCAACCTTGGTGAAAAAGGTTTTGACACCTCTAGTTTAGAGGCTACTCTCCCACCAAATCCAAGATACTCTAATGAAAACAAAACATGTATTTAGAGCTGTTCACCTGTAACTAGTTTGTATTTATAATACTACGTAAACATGATACCACAATAGTAATTCTCCCCCTACCCCCAAACCTACTTTATAGGGGACTAGTTGCAAGAGGAAAATTAAATCCATCCTGTATGATGAATCTGACATTTTTATCAGGATCAGACCAGGAGAAGTTATTTAAATATACTGTATTTTAACTGAAGGTGGTTCTAAACAGGCACTATAATCCAGTTTGGAAGGACCTGTTCATGCTGTCTGGTGATTACCTTGTGTGATCTAGAACCAGTTGGAGGTCAGAAAGAGTGACCTCCATTGAACATGGAACTTGCTCTCAAGTCGCTTTGTCAGGGCTTTTCTCCCAATTTCCCACAGAGATGTGCATCAGCCAGAGGCATACTGAGTGGGGGAAATGTGACAGAAACGGAGGTAATCAGTTACCCCTCCCGGGGGCGGGAGGATTTAACCTCCTACTGGTGAGCCATGTCCTAAGGACATTTCTGGCAGCCCTCATTTGAGATCTTTTACTGCACTTCAGCTGGGGTGGGTGCCTACAATGGGATGAGCAGCAGTATATTTTTGACAGAACTGATATTTTTCTGGGATTTTTTCTTTAAACAGTGTATCACTCTTGATGTGTATTGTAGTGCACGTTATGTAGGCACCCCTTCTTCAAGCTGGCTTCGAACAACATTATAGTGTCTGTGTAGAACTGTTGAAACATAAATTAATTAGAAAACGTAAACAAGTATACTATACTTGACTATGTAGCCAATACAGGATTCTGTCCAACAAGTCGCAAGTGAGTATTCAGTGAGTAAAGTTTGAAACAAAAGCACTAAGGCTGAAATGTGCTATGAGGGGAAACTTGGAAAATGCTTGCCAAGAGCACATTTCTTTCATTTCCTCTCATATTCCTTTCATTAGAGAGAACAACATTTTGTCAGTAAAAGTCACATAAGTCAAAACTTACTGGTGTGTAGGGATGGATAAGAATTATTCACACGGGAGCATTATGGCTATGATATTGATAATGGAATGGTGCTAGCGGGACAATTATGCACTAGAAAAATTGACTTGGAGCTGGTGTAAGAAGTGTGGGGAGCAAGGAGGCATTCTGAAAACCAGGATAGACATTTGTCGTTCTTATCTATGGTTTTTAAATGGAAAATTGGAATTTCATCTGTGAATATCAGATATGCCTTCTCTCTCCCACATTCCCTTCTCACATTCTGTTACATTTAGCAATTTTTTCACAGTCCTACAGATGGTATTAATTGTCGCTTCTATGGGTGGTATTAATTGTCAGTTGAATGTTTGTAACGTAGAATGACAGCATCAGTTACATGGTAACTTCATTTATAGTGACTCCATATGCCTCTTCCAGTAAAAAGACAAATATAGGACTTTGGTCCACTGACAAATATCAAGGTATCAGTGAAGCTGGAACTAACCACAGCATGAAATACCATGCCATATTCATATTGCCTAAACTAAGGGGAAGGCCTTGACCAGCTACATTTCCCCAGCCAATATGAAAACCCCAAACATAAGCTAATCAGGAAGTTATTTATTGATGGATCTAACTTAGGTTTGAAAAAGATGCTTGGATTGATGGAAGTAAGGTGGAGGAGGTTGCCACTTCTACATGAACTGCAAATGTAGCTGCCTCCATCATATTGAGATTGGTCTTCAGAATACCACCTTAATGTGTACATATATCTTCTCCCCCACAAACCAGCACTTTTCTACTGGCCTAATTCTGTTAACTGACCTGAGCCACACTTGAAGGAGAGTGATGATAGGAAAGGAAGGGAAGTGTAAAAGTGAAGAACTTATTTGAGTCAAAAGAACTACCGTATATTCCGGCATATAAGACGACTGGGCGTATAAAATGACCCCCAACTTTTCCAGTTAAAATATAGAGTTAAGACAACTCCCATGCATAAGACTACAGCCGCGTATAAGACGACCCCTGACTTTTGAGAAGATTTGCTTGGGTTAAAAAGTAGTCTTATACGCCAGAATATACTGTAAATGAAATTGTTAGTTCCAACTAAAGCAGACCATAGAACTTACCAAGTGCCCACTGATTTAATGGCTTTGTTCAAGTTGCGACCAACAATCAGAAGTGGGTCAAAGTTAAAGATTCCCATACCGTCAAACAAACACAGAGATATTAAATATCGACATCCCTATGTTGTCAGTTTGGCCCTGAGGTGATAAAACTCAGTTGTGCCACTTCACATCATAGGTTGAAGATACTGTTTTTGAATGATTTCTTGTTTTTATTATACATTCTTTGATGCAATAAACTAAAACAGCACAAAGATCAACTTAGCGTTGCCCGTTTTATCATGTGTTAATTTACTACACACAGAATATTTTTGGTCATGAAATACAGCTCTCGACGACCTTGTATGTTTTTGTTGTTTGAATTTTGGAGTTGTTTTATCTGGATTCAGCAGAGGCTTCTGAGCCTCCCCCATTAGCATTGATCCCTGACATCATGAGGCAAGGACAATAAAGCATTCTGAAATAAATGCAACTGAACATGTGCAAACAATTATGTCTGGTTATATAAACCCATTGCAAAACCTAGGGTTGAAAATGCTACTTGAAAGAAGCCATCATTTTGCATTAATCTCTATGCTAGCTGAATACAGAGACTACTTATTATACGATATGATACTTCTGTACCAATTAACCCTGCCCCTCTGCACCGCCAAAGGAGAGGTCCAGGTTACTGCAACTGACTATAGATTTAAAATAGTATCATTTTCATGAATATTACGTTTAGGACCAGGGAGTCAGTGTGATGTAGCCACTTGAGTGTTGGACTGTGACTCTAGATAACACAATTCAAATCCCCATGTGGCCATGGATGGACTTGGGCAAGTAACACTCTCCCTGCTTCAAAAGAAGGCAAAGGCAAACTAAGCTACTATCAGAATTATTCTAAGGAATGTATGAAATCAATTTGTTTACAATGAGATAGATTTTTGGACTTTAGGAGGCAAAGTACAGGTTGTATATCCCTTATCCAGAATTGCAAAATCCATAATCCTCCCAAATCCAAAATTTATATCTGGGTGGCTTGAAATAGGGGTCACCTTTGCTTTCTGGTGGTTCAGTGTACACAAGCTTTATTTGGTGCAGAATATGATTAAAATATTATGTCTAAACTACTGTGTGTGTAAGGTGTAAATAAATCATACATGAATTTTGTGTTCAGACCTGCGTCTCATTTCCAAGATATTGTATTATGCAAGTATTCCAAAGTCCCAAAGAAATCAAAATTCAGAGCTTTTCTGGTTCCAAGATTTTGGATAATGGATACTCAACCTTTATAAAATGTAGAATTATGGTTCTATGGGGTTATAATGGCTGTTAGAAGTGAAAGGATTAGAATTTATATAGATGGACAAAGGCACATGCTAAAAGGCATAATGCTACCTTCCTACTAATTGAACCAATGATTAGTCATCAGTGTGTAACAGCAAACTGCCTATGCATTTCTAACTAGGAAATGGAGAGTGTCATCTTGATGCCTCTTTCCTAATAGTTGGTTGTGCTTCTGTAATTGTAATTGGTTGAGTTGGAATTCAAACATGACATTTCTTCAAATACAAGTCTTAGTCCTAATCTTTTTTATACTGGTTTTAAACAACGTCATTGGATGTGTTGTAATAGCAGATTCCCAGATTAGTTTAATGTTTACACCTTATTTTATTTTTCTGATTATTTAATATTTAATGTTTATTTTACTTAGGTGATATTTTTCTTTACTGTTCTAATGTAGCACAAATCCTAT